TTTTTCTCCATTTCCATCGATGCATCGCATTGGAATAGAATTTAGTCAGATCGAGGATGGCTTCGAAGAGTTCCCGTTTCATTTTCATTCTCATCAACGACCTTTCTCTTGCTTTGCCTCCCTGGCTGCTCGCCGGAGAAAGGGAAAAAAAGCAACGGAGGAGGGAAGACACCGACGTTAATTCTGCTGGAACAGGCATAAAGCTCTGAATCACCGTGAACCGGTCCCGTACCGTAAAACGCGATGCCTGTTGTGTGAACGCGGAAACCACAAGGAGGCAGCAACTCCGTACGGGTCACGGAAGGATTCCTTTCTCCTCCTCTCGTTCCTTCCTTTTCTCCTCTACCCTCGACTTTCATCTTCCTTATTCTTCCCCGTGCATGTCCTATATTTTTATCCCATCATCGGATTTATTTCATTTTCACCGTATTAAAATCTAACAAAATTCCTTCAGAAAATTCAGATTTCGAAGGCAAATAACGATATAAGTGCTTCCGTTTGATGAAATAATCAAGCATAGGCGATTTCTCGGAACACTAATTACACTAATTAACTCGGTGAATCATCGGTGCCCGAAGAATTTCGAGAAAAAATTTTCCACGACCAAATGATCGAACGGTAAGATTACCTTGATCGTTTGGTTAACAGCAATCGCGAACGAGTCGTGAAATGTATCAATTTGAAAATTGTATTAAGGTAATGATGGAAAATGTTAACAAGGTGTCGGTTTATTCGCAGGCCGGAGATCTCGATGCGAGGCAAAGACGCTTTCGTTTCCCGGCTAAAGGTTAAACTGTTGCTACAATCTAACGATGCTACACGAAATGGGAATCGAGACAACCTGTTGATCCTGCAGCTTCCTTTCACTCCCGGTATCATGACCGAGGAGAAAGAAGAGGCGAGTTGTTCGACTGATTTACTACAACACGATCTCGATATTTCGTAATCAAGTTGGCATCAGACGCGAGATCTCCTGTAAATTGGACCAAATTTTTTTCTTCGATACCGTAACAACTTGTCCGATCGAGAAATCGAAGGTTAATTTTGCTATAGCTTATATTCAAAAACGTTCGTCGTGGAGAATGTAATTGAAAAAAGAAATAGATACCTCGCTAATTTGGAGGTCAGCAAATGGAAGCGTCTAACATGTGCAAAAAAAAGAAAGAAGGATGTGGAACTCGTCTAACGGGTGTCAGGAAGAAAGTGGTCCCATTTCGTGGCCAACTTAACGAAAATTTCGGAATGGCCCTTTCAAACGAGAAAAAGGAAAAAGAAGGCGGGCCAGTGGCAAAGCGAATCCGGAATCACGGTAGGGGAACGGAGAAAGTGAGTTGCCGAAAGTTGTGTTCACCTCTCTGGCCCAATCTTAAACGACTAACACAGCTAATAAATTAGACTCGTTAAAAATTTGACGAATAAAATTACCATTTCGTCCGCAAAAATTCTAATAGACTTTAAATCATTTTCGTTAAATATTTATGATAGCAATTTCATTTGCAAGGTTTTCTTTAAAAAAAAAAGAACAAACGATTCTTTATCATAGAAGAAGGTAATTTCATTCTATAAAGATAATGATAGGAGACAGAGAGTCCCATTGATAGAGTCCGAAAATATCAGTCGAGACAAAAGAGAAAGCAATTTATGGCACGACGGTCTGAAAGTGGAACAGCCGATATATCATCTAAATATAGAAGTACCTTCTCTAAACTAGTTGACAATGTTTCCGGTAAATTGAATTTTCCCAAAAAATCTTCCTGGCTAAAACGAAATTACTATCACTCGAACGAGTCGACGCACGTCTGAATAATTTCACAGCTGACGAGCAGATGCTGTCGCGAGGCTGCTACATAAACGAATCGCGAAAGAGAACGTCTGTGTGCTTTACCGCCACCTGACAATTAAAGAACAACGAAACGAGCACGTGCTATCGTTAGTTAGGCTAATAAAACGAAGAAACGCGCGATCAAACGTCGACTAGCAGCTAGCTGGATTTTCTTGAATAAATATTCCTCGATGAGAAAGGGAACGCCGACGAGAGTAGAATTAGAAATAGTTTGAAATAAAAAATGGTCAATTTAAATGGCCGAAAATTCGCGTTAATTACCATAAGATAACGCGGCATCGCGAGATTACGAAACGACCGACTTTCGATAATTGATCGTTGAATAATCCATAATCGAACAAAGAAAATATCGTTGAATTATCGCGCGGTTCGATCACCGTTGTTCCCTTTAACGAGACATCGGTGGCGAGCCTTACGTCGTCTTTGCAATTACCATTTCTCGCTATCGAACGGTATTGCCGGTTGCGTAATCGGCGAACAAAAAATATTTTCAACCCGATAAAACCGTGCTACCGATTACGTAATAAATTTATTCATCCCTCGGATCGGTAGAATTTTTATATATTCGAACCGGTGCAACGGTGATTGATTATAATTATAAGCCACTCCGAGTCGAACGCTAACGAGTTTACCTCGAGAGTGCGTAACGAGGCTGGCCATTACTGGTGTGACCGCGATTACGTGGAAAAATTAATTGATTGTTTCGCCTGTCTCGCGACACCATCTCGCTAACGAAGCTCCATCTCTTGACCTTTCGGACGAAAAGAAAAAATAAAGAAAAGGGAAGGAAATCGGTCAATCGTGGCATTTTCCTTCGTTAACCGTCTCTTCGATCGAGCCAATTATATTTCGAGCTAGCTTTTGGCGAATCGTGCAACGAGAAGGATACGATGGATTCGTAAATCGCGGCAAACGCGGAAGAAGCTGACTCATCTCGAAGTGAATTTCTGATTTAACACGCTCGGCGGGAACGTTGGATCGAAGGAAGGAGGTTTAAGCGGCGCGGATTTGAAATTTCCCGGGTAAACAGTGATGAATGAAGATTCGGAGAAAGTGCAACAAATACCTGCTATGACTAATTACACCCTCGACTCTGCTATTTTTTTTCTCTATCACAGAAAAATTATTAATTGATCGAAAGCGATCGCAACTCGTGCCACGAGTAAGTGAAGAAAGGGAAAAAAAAAAAAATTGTAAAGAAATACCAAGGTGTGTAAAGAGTGGACGATACAATACATCATAGGAATTTAACGACCGGTTTTCACTGCAAACGCATCTTTTCAGACTGACACGGCCTCCGAGGCTCGTTCCTCTCGCACCCTGTTATTTCAACGATTTTCCTCCTCGTTAAGACGAGGGGCGGCTCGTTAACGCGGACATATAATTACACTCGATAATAATAACAGCGTATCGATTGGAGCGTGTATTCTCGATCCTTATTAAACTTGATCGTTTCATCAGGACTGTTCGCGCATACGAAGAATGTGGCATCGAGTTTTGCCTCGGGATTATCTCCTATGATTTCGATTAAGAACGTCTGATAATCAAATGCTAACATATCTGAATAACAATTTAAATGATTTGAAACAAGGACGATACGAGTATTTCTTCGACGCCTCCTTCTAATCCTTTCGCGTTACTTATCACCTTAATTTCTTAAGCGTTAGAAAATTTTTGTGGAATTATGCAGGTCGATGGGCAAGGTGGTGGCGAGGGGGATGGAATAACTTGGCGTCCAGGTTACCTCCACGTTTCCCCTCGAGACCAGATTATGGTCTCGCTGCGAAATCTGAGACCAAACGTCGACCGCATGGGATTATCCTTCCATAACGTCAGCCAAGCTAGGCCATAACACGGCATTGCCACATCTTGCCGGATAAAATGTAAGAACGTCGATGTTGTCGGTGAAACGAGAAGAGATCGACGCCGTGGAAATAAGTAAAGCGATCGTACGATGCGATCGCGATCGTCAAGAGGACGTTTTAACGCGTAATCCATGCCATTCGATATCTCCGCGACGAAGCGTCGATTACCTTCGTTTATGCCTTCCGGATTTTCAATGGAAAATTCATCGTCCTCTTTGCCCTTTCGATGCGTTATTATTATTATTATCAATGATAGAGTTGACATCCAAATATCAAGTGAGCGAGAATAATTTTCAAGATCGTTCAAGAGGAGAGAGGTTCAGTAGACCCATCTTATAATCTAATAGCACGTAACCAATCGCCACAGCTTCTCGGCATACTTGCGATCATGTACGAGATGCGTAATTAATAGCTTCGAGACTTATAAATTATTGACGATGAAACGCAGTGAATTAATGTACATATTAAACAGCTTTTGTCCGGCTACGAGCAGCAAATCCCGTTTACATCCGCCACCACGATAACTTCGATCTCGTTGAAACAACCGTCTTCAAACCGAATATTATAATTAATATATAAATAAAAAAAATTTAATTTCCAGTACGTTAACAGGCGATGCTATTCTTTCCTTAAAATTCAAATCACACGACTGTAGAAAATTGTAATGGAATATTTCATTCCAGAAAATTATAAAAAACACACTGGCACACGTGTTAATTAAGACAAGAATTTCATTAAATATGTTTGGAAAAGTAATACTAAACTACAAAATAAACTCTATAAAATCGTGCTTTATAAAAAAAAATCTATTAATGACTAATTATACTATCAGTAGATATCTCGTCTGTACCTAATCAATATTCTCTACCTAATTAACGAAATAAGTGCTTAAGCTTGTACTACCTGTTTTTTTTTTGCTCTTTTTTTTTTTTAAATTGATATCGTTCTGATGCGAAGAATTGTTACGTTTATTACGAACAAAGAGAATATTAAAAATGTATCGTTATCGTTCGCATTAGAACGCGTCGATATTTTTCTCTAATTTCTAAACGCGCGTGTGTGAAAGAGAGTAAAGCGGGTGAATGGGAAAACTAAAGAAAAAACTCATGCAAATGAGAGACCACGTCCCACAGTTGTCCTCGTTCTAGAAAGGTAGATGAAGATTCAGGAAAAACGATGATCCTCGTATTAGATCATTCGTTCGAGTGTTTGGAGACAGGGGGAAGATGCAAAACAAAGAAAAGAAAAGAAAAAAGAAAAAAAAAAGGTATGAGCTGTCGTTTGTCACTTACCCTTCAGTGAGGATGTTATCATAGGATCACCTGAAAATGATACAAGTACAGTATTGCGTGAACGTCATGTATGAAAATGAAAAAGAGAGAAAGAAACAAAAAAAGAGAGAGAGAGAGAAAAAAAGAGTGCAAAAATCATTCGTGATCATCGTAAAAAAAATTCGATTGACGAGAGTTAAATTATCAGGCTGTAGAAAATGAAAGATCAAAGAAAGAGAGGATGGAAAAGTGCTCGTTACCTATCAACGAAACTATCATTTATACATCTAAATACACGAAATAATTTTCTATTTTTCTTATTTCATTATAGTACACTCGCGATCGAATTAAGTTTTCCCAGGAAAAATGGTAAACTCCCGGGAGCAGCCCATCCTTCCCCTTCGGCGTCCGCGGGCCGAATGACAACGCAGGGAAGGGTGCCTCGTATATATAGGCCTGTGGCGGACCAAACATGTTCGCGCGGGAAAATTTGAACTGATCAAAAAGAAAAATAATTAAATCTTCCTCCGCCTGTTCCTAACAATTCCTACCTACCCAAAAATGAAAAATAAATAAAAAAAAAAAAAAAAAAAAAAAAACAAAGAAATGGAGTGCACGTAGGTGGTAATTTTAATATGGCCAGTCGAATCAAAGTATGAAAGAGAGCAAAAGCACAGAGGACCGCGGTCGTAGGGTGCGTGGGCACGGTATGGCGAAGCAGGGAGGGCCTTTGGGCCGAGATCCTCAGCCTGAGGTCAGGGATCAGCTTGTGCCATAGAATTAAAAAAAAAGAACCGAGAAAATGTTCCTCCCGCGAGAGATAGGGTATCTTCTCGCATAATACGCAAGTGGGAGGCTACAGACACGCTTAGTGTCTCATCTCTGTTCAACTTGTTGCTGGCTCCTTTAGCCTGGACCTCCTCCACTTTTATTGGGCTTTGTTTCACTTCGACCTCGCCGCTATGCATAATTCGTCCCGCTCTTCACTTAACCCATTCAATTATTATTATTATGACTAAGGTAAGATTCTAGCTTTATAAACGGTATCTAAAACTGGTGCACTCGGTGTGATTTATTGTAGCTTCCGTCATGGAAAACTCCCAACTAATTAGACTAGGAAAATTATACGCAAGTTGAAATTATTTGAGACAGAATTTCTAAGTGTCTTGTTGAAAAATATTAAAGTATAAATGGATTTAAAACAAAACGCGACGAATAAACGAAGGGGAACAGCAACATAATGACCATCAAAAGAACCACCAAATGATTAATATTTAGAATCGAGTGATTAGAGAGAATGACATTGGCAGAAGCCGGTATATCCAAGCAAAAACGTAAATCTATTCAGTGTCAGGATGCAATTACAGTGCCTGGCAACATGGCAAATATTTCGCGTTTAATCGTAAATATGAATTATCCTACGTTTCCCACTTTTGCAACCAGCTTCCAATAAACGACTGTGCTTTCAATGTTCGCGCACGATGATTATCATTTACCTAGCGAAGGTACCTACACGTATTTTAATATAATTGAACCTAGAAGAAGATTTCTGAATTTATGATTCATTATTTCTTAAAATTATTATTATTATTCAATAATACTTGCGAGGTGAATTTGAAAAAATTCGAAAATGTTTGAAAGCAATCGTTTCGAAAATAAGCGAACCTGGCCGGAATAATAATTTGAGACGAATTAGCGAATCTAATCGAATGGGTCGGTCAAAGCCGACCGGATGATCTTCATAAATATGTAACAAGGTAAAAGGCATGAATGTTGAACACGGTATTCCGGATTAAAGGTCGTTGTTCGAGGAAAATCGCGGTTCCACTCTTCTGGCCAGGCTACGTCCACCGAGAAGCTGCATCGGTGCGTGCATCAGCTTGCATCTGCTTGCATCTCCAAGCAGATGCACATGCGAGCCGTGCCGGAACGTGTGGGACGAGCTGATCTTCCGGCGGATTTCGCGCGATGATTCACCAGGCTCTCTTTCCATAAATCGTTCATTATTCGGCGAACAAGTTGAAAATTCGCCAATCGTCTGATAGAATTGTTGGAGCATCAAAAATTCAGAACGCAAAATAATTTTCGAATAGGAAAAAAAAAATTGTCTGCGATTCGGTTTCGCTAATTGCATGAAAATTGGCGGAAAGAGAAACGACGGGATCGACGTCGAAACAGAAAAACGCAATAACAATTTCGCAAAGAGGTGGGAGTAAAACTAGGAGGAAATCGATTATTCCGGCATCCTACACGATCGTCCGCTTAGAAATAAACACCGACCGGGTCGCTTTTATCCTGAAACGCTGCATTATCCTCGGCAACGAGACGGAACGCGTCCTTGAGCGATGCAAACAGCCAGGATCCTCTCCTCGATTGATTACGATGCGACACGTTCGCGAGGGAAACTAGCAGGATCTTTCGAATATCCGAAGAATATTGTTTCACCGTAGGTGGAACAAAAGCTGGAACTAATCGAGGCGATGAATTTTTAAGCAATTTCTGCAGGAATTCCGTGAAACTAGTATGCGATCGAAGGTTCGCGTGTCCTGCGACACGGACGCGAAGCTACACGAGAGGCGGACGACTTCCGGCGCTATGGGAATTTTCCATATTTTTTTTTCTTTTTTTTTTCTCTTGCTCACTCAAGGTTCTAGTCAACATCCTGTCTTCATTTTTCAACGGCTTTGTTGCGCGTTTAACGATGTACAATGGCGTTGACGTAAATTGATACCATTATACGGTTAATCCTTTAAATCCTTATTCTTTGCGGTATGGAAAATTTGCTATTTTCTATCCAAGAGATGGTAAAAGATTCGGCTGCGATTTGAATAAGAGATCGGTAGGAAACTATAAAGGAGAAAGAGGAGAAAATGGCAAACGATTAGATACGGTTTTCGTGTACAGCCACTCCGCGTGATGGACGTTGCTGTTTATTTCAACGACAGGATTATCACGAATTTCCATAGGAGAAAAATAATAAAATGCATGCAAGTGAAACGGATTCGGTAACACCGTCCACGTTGCCCCGCTACTGTCTTCTGATTATTCAGAATTGCGAACAACGCGTTCTCTGTTGCGAATAATCTCCAACTGGAGCAATAATAGAATTACAAAACGCGACAATTTCAATCTCCTTTTCTTTGAAACTCCTAAACATTGGACCTATTTTGGATACCCTAAATGTACATTCAAACCGCTGTTCGTTCCATATAATCCTCCATTATTTCATCTTTTCAATGCCTCATTGAAACGAATTTAACCCTTTAGCTGCGGATACTTTTAGCAGAGCCGATTACATTCTAATTATATAACCGAAGCGATATTCTATTTTAAAAGAATTTTTGTATTGTATTTTATTTTTATTTTATATTAGCAAAAATATTAGCTGTTAAAGGGTTAATATTCCGAAATAAACGCAACACTTTTAGAATAGCAAAAGGTTTAACCAAACGAACCGTCCTATCGATGGATGATCAAAGAACAACGTCGAGAGGCCGTCGGCAAACGAGCTGACTACACGATAATCATTATAATCAGATGCAATCTTGTAGAAAATGATCACCGTAACCGATAATGAGCCGCTTCCTCTCGCGTTGCTAGAACTCCAGAAGTAACAAATGATGTTTCAGAAACTTCATCCTTCTTAGATGCCTAAAACCTAGTTTAGATTCGAATTTATTTATTGTATTTAAATTAAATTAAATTGAGGAAATAACACTGTATTTGGTTTTAAGACCTGGTTTCCGGACGGATTCTTGGTACCTATAGGGAAACATAGACGGAAGAAAATGATTTCAAAGTCACTAATTTGAATCTCGAAGAAGATTAGAAGATTCAAAAATGGATCAGAGAAACAGTAGAGGCGTCGCGACGACGCGACTGAAGAGAAACGGAATTCTCGTGGAAAACTGTTTTGCGTAAGCACCCAATCTATAAGACAAAAATGTCCTGGACGAAAAGGACGATCAACCGAGGCAAATTCACCCTGTCTGAAAGACTGTCACCGAGGGATGAAGAACAAGTCCCGACGCAACCGTCGTTCAAACGGACGCTGAATTATTCATGGGAAATCTGTTGCTTTTATTCGACCGGATCTGTCGTCGTTTTATACTACCAACTTCTCTTCTATTTTATTATTTTATAATACTAATCGCTACGCAATCTCATCTTCTCTTGGTGGTACCAAGAGATTTCCATAGAAGAAACGCGATTCCCCTGGTATATTTTAATCAAGATGATGTATCCACGAAAAAAAAAAAAAAAAAAACCTAAACCATCCAACATTATTAACCATTTGGTGATTGACGTTGCGTGATGATCGACCGGTTACATAATTCCGCGTTCAATTCTCCAGGGTTGCAGTCAAGATTTCGGATAATAGATATATCCGGAAGCCAAGGACAATATTAATCGTAAAGTTTAATTAATTTACCCAATCGTACTTAAATCGACGATAAAAAAGAAACGTCGAATTGATTTGCAGATATGGTTGTGTGTCGGATACCTGGTCGTTCGTAAGGCGAGCCTCTTCTAAGTGTCGCCTGTCCTCTGATAGGATGGAATTGTTGTTGTTGTTGTTGTTGTTGTTGCTGTTGTTGATGCAAGGGTGGCGTTTGAGACGGTTGTAGCTGTAGATGATACTGCTGAGGCGTCGTCGAATAGTGGGCGGACGCGTTTGCGGTGGACGCCGCCAACGATTGTTGCTGATACTGGTTCAGATGATTCGGATGAGGGAAATGAGGATGGGAATGAGCGTGCGGTTGAGGCGGTGGATGAGAATGGGAATGAGGATGGGAATAGGGGCCACACCATGTATAATATTGCTGCCAGGAAGCAGCGACATCCACGTTCGCCATTCCATCTCCTTCTTCGCTACCCATTCGGACCAGGAGCAATGAATATTTTTTATCTTCTCACTTTTACTTAATTAACACCAGGATCGAGTATGTTTTCTGTTCGTCCACAAAGTCCTTCGCTCGGCGACGATCGAAATTCAAGCGCGGTCAAATTTCACTGATCAAACTCATGGTGGATCACTTTGATATTTTCATCCAACTGTAGAAAAATCGAATTGCGATATAAATTCGAGCCAGTTTTTCGAGGGATACTTTAGATTTTCTCACAATCACACGACTGGAACCTAGAAAAATCTATCCGAGCAACGTCACGTGGATTTTCGCGACGGATGAAAGAACTTTGAATCGAGCTGACGGATGATTGTAGGATATTATGTCGCTTTTAATTGACGGAATGAAACGCGTTCTCGAGAAACGAGCACGGCACGCGAGTCACCAAGGACCCCTGCACGCGAATATCTCGTGATTTTCTCTACCGATCCCTAAAGATATTTAATTTTTCAAAAAGAATACTCTCCAAAACCCTTGCGAAGGCGAAATGTCTCCAGAACCACTGATCAATTAATCAATCAATAATTTCTCCAATAAAAACATTAAAAAATCCACAATTTTAACAAACTACTCTATAGTACCCAATTTTCAATTGAAAGAAACAAAAAAAGGTGTTAAACATTCACTCCTCGAAGTTGCTCACTATGTAATTACCTGCACAACACCCCAACAACTTCCTATCGCGTATGTATGATCGTATACGAATCTATACGACTGCACATATACGTATGCGTATATAGATCACGATATATGCACATGGTGATCACTGTGTACATGTAAGTAGAAAAGAACCCTTTCATTCTTGAACGACGAAGAAAATAATCGAAATGAAGTGGCTTCTCGTAAGAGATAAGAAAACGAACGGGAAACGGAAGTCGATCGAGTTGCTTGGAGAACGGGTGAAAGATGTCGCACGACGCGTACAGCCCGAAGAGGCTCGAGGATGACTGAGAGGAACAGGTTCCTCTCCTCCTCCGCCTCGAGCAAAAGAGGGTTGAAAGCACGAGGCTGGACGAGTGAGAAACGGATCCGGACACCGGGGGAGGATATGTTCGAGTCCACGTGCACCAGCAGGCACGTTCCTCGGTCACGTGTACCGTTTACACCCCACCCGGCAAACTCTCCGTTCCACTTTATTTCAACCACCGCGACAAAAGAATGAAATTCGATACGACAAACGCGGAAAATAACTACGATTAATAATCGAACACCGATATATCTACGATACTTTTAATCAATTTCATAGCAAAAAAGGTGTGGAAATAAATTTTTTTTTTTTACCTCGTTAGAGAATCGATGGTGAAAGTTTAATTAGCGATTCACTTTTCACCGATGAATAATGCATTCGAAAATTAATCATTCACTAATTGATACTCCAATTCGAGGAGGTGACGACCGCTTTTAATGGGACGTTCGATTGTTCCCAGTGCGGATGGGGATCGAAACGATACGAATCTTTGGTATAATAATAAAAGACCAAATTGGGGGATACTATTGCAATTAGCAGAGAATTTTCGAACAACCTAAGTAAATCGAGTAACTGGAAGATGAATCTATCCAGAGAAAATAAAATTAGGTTCATCAGCCAATAACCGTGTTTCAGCTAAAACGATATGTTTTATTAATGTCCCATGCAAGATTAAGTCGAATGGCGAATCTAGAGAGAAAAAATGGATGGCTGCGTAACGCGTCCCGGCGCAATGTTCTTTGTAAAAGCATACATAAATCGGACCCGGTCTCAATGATCCGTTCGCGAGATCGTTTCGATATGCGACAGTTTGTCGTCGAACGTGTCGCGTTGCCCCAGGTCGGGTCAATTCGAGTCAACGTACTCCTTACATCGATGCCTTTGTATCTCCTACAATTCTCCTATTTTTATATCGTGAAATCTGATTAATCACCAGGCATTAGGTGTAAAAGAGACCGCGAGTGAGGCGTTCGTTCGGTGATGAAAAGTTTCCTATCCGGAAGTGGAGCGCGATTCGTCGGAGGATGAAAGGGTTGTATCCTCTGGCGCGAGCGCAATTTATATTTTAATCGAGACACGCGGGAGAGGAAGAGGGCTTTATCTGTCGAATGCCAGGCATCTGGCCCATCTGAGCAAGGAAAAAGGAGGTGAAAAAAAAAGGGTAGAAAACAAAGGCTCTCGATGGCTTGTTTTACGTTCGTGTGTAGATAGATCGAATGGTGAAGGTGGATGGTAGAGAGGAAACGATCTCTCCTCGTGTGTAGACAGCGTTTTGCCTTCGGTTTAAATATGGAGATCGATCGGCCGGAAAATACAAGGGGTGGAAGGGACGTTCATCAATGTCCTCGACTTGTCTGCGATTGACTGGCAAAATCGTACGATGGAAGGATGTTCCGCGATATAATAACCCCCTTCGACCATTTAATCATGCCAGACTGACCAATCTCGACAGATTTTCCCTACCTTGTCGAATTAATTACGTCTCTGGAAATCATACGATTCGCTGGTCGTTCGATTAATTAAAAAGCCCCTTTTCATTTTGGTCCACGGAAATAAACCTTCGCCGATTTATATGAAGCGTCTTCGAATAAAACCACGTGTCGCGATAATTATAGAATATATACGTCCTAAGACGACACCGGGAAACCGCCTCCGGTTGGCCAATGTGACCAGAAATGAAAAAACTAACATCTAATAATTTACTAACGAATTACCACCCCTTTTCAAGATAAGTTCAAGATTCGAAGCTAGTTTGCTTACTATTGCTTTGAAATAACAACCTTCCTTCTCGGACGATCGATTACCATGCGATTGCTTGTATTCGCCACCTGCACCCTTGTATACCTGCACAAGCTCACCGTTAATTAATGATCGACTCGATACGGTGTTGTAACGAACAGCAAAATTTTTTCTTTTTTAAAAAAATGAAGGAAATACAACTTCGATTTATTGTATTCGCCCTTTGCATTACGTAAGAACCCTGTCTCTCCTCGGAGACAACTAACAAACAAGGTAGTTACTTGTGTATACAACGTTTACTCACGCTTTTTGCGTTTAATAGTTCGCTAGCTTGCAACCCCTGTCAAACCACCACCCTTCGACACGATTTCCATTCGCAGCAAAACTGCTTCACGTGGCGGAACACGTGAATCCGACACGTGGAAGTCCCAGCCACGGTATCGAACGATCCCTCTGCTCTCCGCTGCTTCTCGATATTTAAAATACAGAGAAAAAGCTTGCCTTTCATTTATAACGCTTTCCCGATATTACACGTAACGTTGATTTATTAATTGTTGAATGAAAATCCGAACTACTACTGTTGATCTAAATTTTACAACGGTACGTAATTCAATCCATCGCTACTGTATTAATCCATGTCGGAAGAGAAAAAGTGAAAATTTTACAAATAATCGCTAGCTAGAATATCTCTGAATCTATGCAGAACTCGGTAGCGGACGTACTAAAGAACGAAGGTCGTTCTCCGGACGTGACATCATTGGCAATCAGTTTTTCAGACACGTGAGAAAACAATTGTTCCTTCACAATGCCATAATAAAATGGTACACTGCCGAGATCAATTTAATTGAGCTTCACTGTGCGTGTCAGACGAACACACGGTTAAACGATATTTTATAAAGCGAAATTTCGTTGGGAAACAAGAGCATTTATTTAATATTTATTTATTAAAATTATCTACAATTTGGTTATCTTGCGGCGGTACAAGTGTAGTATTGTTTCTCTATTTGAAAATGATAAAATGACTTTGAAATTTTTCATCTTTTATCCTACTTCTGACCCGATTCATTAATTGCCATGGATTCTATAAATGCTACGCGTTCATCCCGTGCACCGTGGTATTTAACGGGAATAGAAAAATGCCTTGTGAATGCCGCAAGGACGTCGGATGCGCATTATAATGCTACCTGACACACGTGATACTTTCCCACGTGATTAGTTACGGTCCTATGGTGAACATAAAAAGAATTAAATGGAATGGAAACGACGGAATTTTGTGTACCTACGCGATTACAACACTCGGAGTGTTAATGAATTTATCTCTACGATAAAAATATACTACTTATGTTCAATGTAATTGGCTAGTCACGTGCTTATAGATATATAACCTCAACTTTGAGGCTGGTTTCTGATTTACAACCCTATTACGCGTCATCGTGTCAATGACCTTGCGCGTTCACAGACCCTAACCTTTCTCAATATTTCAAAAAAAATACGCATAAACAATGACACTGCTTGTTTCCCAACAAACTTCCTGCTCTTTATTACGAAAAGTCATTTATCGTTGCCAAACGTGGCACATCGTATTTATTTCTAACGATAAACGGAATGCACGCCAAAAATCATGGCGTCATTAGATAGAATTTAATATTTGACTTACAAATGATGATTTCGAATGAAGATCCACGTTTGCGTCGTCCCCGATCTCGCCCCGATGTCGAATTCAACCTCTGTTCTCATTTTCTTCAACAATCACTCACTATTTCTCACAAAAATACTGAAAATTATGACCACGCCGGCTAATTCGAAAATTCCTCCTAACGTAATGGCGGCAAACTGACGCCACGCGGCGCGCGCATACAAAATGGAGGGCGCTGCGCATCGTTTGAAATCTACCTTCTCTATATCGATAATTCAGTTTCTACGATTGAAATTATCGATCAAGAAATCAAAAAGAAAATTATACGAATTTCTTTCATGGATTTTCTTAGACAGACAAAATTATCAAATAAAACTATCGTACAACTTTCTTTCTTTTGACCACAGTGAATTAATCGAGAATCTTATTAATGAACGCGTTTCTAATTTCATCTTTGCCAATCATTCACGCGCATCGATGGTAAAAGATTCAATGACGCTACGAAATTCCATGAACCCGTGCCAGATGCCAGTAGAGTCAGAGTCAGTTCGTGCTGCTCTCTGCAGGAGATCTCAGCAACATTATAACAAGATTCCTCTTATCGAAATTTATTACATAGTTAAATAAAACTTTTGAACGTTGCGCGTTACATTTTACAGATAAACCTAATAATGTTCGCCATCTTTGCGATTAAACGAACGATATGTACCACGAGGATCGTCCATTCTATTCGACAATTAAATCCATCACGAGTTTCAGTCAAGAAAAAACAAATCAACTTAGGATGATTAACCTAAACAAAGGAACACCTTGCAGCAGTAATTAATTTACATACTAAAATCAAAATGACATTTAATAATCAAAGAGGTATATCACAAAGACAAAATACTATCTTCAAACGATAATAATTCAGAATTAAAAATCTAATCAAATTGCAGGTAATTAAAGGCATAGATAGACGCAACAGGTATATACAGAATATAGTAATAAATGCGTTTAGGAATTTCCAGTCATCATCGATAATCAGTAATCGAGAAAATCAGATCGATCAATTCACGGAACATTTGAATTAATGACGCACATTTCTCACCATCGACGAGCACGCCCAATCTTTTCTACCGATCTATGAAGTAATGCTTTCATATTTCTTTTTCTCAAAGCTGTCTGTTCTCGGTAAAAGAATTATTGAAAAAAAAAAAAAATGTTTGAAACTCGTGTTAATTTTGTATTCTTTTACAGGATATCTTAAAAGGTGTCGAAACACGAGTATAGCTAATCTCGACTCGTTTTCACCGCGTCTCTCGTCGATAATTCGAACGGCAAATTTTTTGTCTACTTTTTTTACGAATGCTCCTCTAATTGTACTCTCAATTTGCAAGTCAAACAGGCGGAAGAGTACTATATTTACGAAGGCATGAGAAAACAGCTTCGATGACGTCACTGTTTAAAGGTCTACCGTGTTCTTCTGGCGCTATTCGGTGCCGTTTTATTTCTGCTTGGGTAGACCAACACCGGACCAGGACCAACAGATCCGAGCAGACATGCGAAACCGTCGAGCGAAACTATCTTCATATATATTTATACTGGAAGCGTTTACAGCATATCATTGATAATCATGCTGAAAATTGATCGACGATCGTCTCTTGGATACTCTGTTTGTTTAACGTCAGAGTCGCGATGCAACTTTATTGGTTTTACGAAAATAGGTGTCTACTAAATTTCATGGAATTTCTATCGTGACCGTCTTCTTTTTAATACCACATTTATATCATTGAATTTCGAGGAGAGAAAATTTCTCCAACTGAGAGGATTGATGAATATTAAATCAGAAAATTGAAATGTTTAAAAGATGATTATATTAAACGTGAGTATTTGTATTAATTTGGAAAAGGGTTTGATCTGATAATATTGATGATATTTAGATACAACTGGCAGAATGGTGAACGAAAGAACTCCTAAAATCGAGGCTCAAGTTATGCACGCTATACGTAGGCTACAGACTGTTAAAGGATCTACTCAACGAGAAATCAGCAATTATATTTCCCAGGAATACGATCTTCCTTTGCAGGATGTCAGACGACAAGTTCAGCTCGCTTTGAAGCGAGGGGTTACCTATGGGATTCTTCAACGACTGAAGGGGTAGAAAAGCATTCCTATTTTATACCTTAATTAACATCGTTAATCCAAGTGAATAAATTATTTCCAGAGGATGTTTCACGTACAATCAACAGCTGTTCGATGGACATTCGTTGGAGACAGAGGTAGAGATTCCGTGCAAAGGGCGAAGGAGGCGGCGTAAATCTCGCCGATCGCGAAGACGTCGAAAATCGAGGAAAAGACAGCGTGGAAAAAGGAGGAGCAAAAAAGCGGAGGAGATTGTCAAGGAAATCGATGGAAGAGATTTGAAAATGCTGACCAAACAAGCCAAGAGAAGCAGCACCCTCTTAAGAAGAGACGTCCCTGAAAGCGAGGCTTCTTCTACCACGTGGAAATCCGACGAAATACGGGAATGATCCCCTTTCCATAGTCTACACACTCTACGTTCTACAGACAAAGATTTACTCAAGAAAAGGAAGCGGATGCAACTGGTAAACACCGGTGTAGAATGTTTGCGCACATCCATTTAAATGCATTTTCCAATTCAAACACCTTCTGCAAGCTCCTTCGTACTGGGAACTCGAGGTAGACTCTATACTTTCAGTAACGAAACAGAAATAAAATAAGCCTTTTACATTGCACAAGGCTTTCAAACGTTAACACATTGTATCAACTTAGAATTCAAATGGAAAATCTTAACAATTCCTTTTTTTTTTTTTTGCAGTTCATTAATGATATCATCTCAAAGAAGAAACTGAAGAGTAATTTGAAGAGAAATTAAATATTCATTGTGTATACACGTTTTTAAATATCCTCTTGAATTAATTTTTGTACCTGTTATCTTTGTATGTGTATTTGAAATTTTTAATAATGAATATAACTAAGTTTTTTTATATCAGCTTGTTCGATGCTTTTTAAGAGTTTATACTAGATTATCTGAAAGTTGTAGAGGAAAAATTGAACGTGTATAGGCAGTGATTTGTGCCAAAGGGTTGAAGAATTGTTAGACGGAGAAGTGTTAAAATGCGGGTACGTGTTCCGACGATGACGGCCCTGTTCACGGCCTTGTTGGCTAATGATAGTCTCGCTAATGATGCCTCTGTACACGCACACGTGTAGTCGTGACGCGTGACTATTTCGCCTAGCCTGCTATATGGATAGACAGACGTCGTTCAACCGAGATATTAGACAATAAAGTAACACAAAGTGTGACCAACCAGAAACAAAATAGATTTACGTAAACGAACGACCAGCATCATGTGATTATTATACTTGGATCACACACTGGGAGTTCATCATTCGTCGCTTCATCATCAGCCAGTTTGACAAATCATGCATGCTAGCTCTTGGTAATTGCAATTTTAGTATTTATTGATAGGAAAATGTAAACACGAAGGGCTAATAGATATCTTACCAGGTATGACTGTTTCTACTGGGCCACAGTCTCCACTCAAATCTACTAATGTAAATTTGAACAAATTGAGAGGACCAACTATTCAAGTGAAATCATCGTTCGAACATAGTATCTTGGAGCTGACAGACCAGTCACCGATCCGTCTGTCCAAACGTTGGACAAACATGCACAGATTTGCAGAATACGCGAGAGTCTATCTCGCTGCTCAGATAACACGAAACGTATATTGACTCAACAGAGGTACATCTTGCTAAGGTAATACCATTTCCTCGGCATTTCTCAACCGACCAGTTGACCAAATATACATGTTCCAACGTTTACAGTCGATGGCAGACGCTCGACCATTGGAGAAAATGAGAAGATGTAGATTTTAGAAAGCTTCCAAAAAAAAAAAAGAAAGAGACTGAAAATGGATCGAGAGGTTCGAAAACTTGTAAATCTGCTGGTTTTATGTCGCATCTGCAACAACCTTGACGTGGAAGCCGTATTTTCAGGCAGCACGACGTACAGGCTTCGTGTCACCGCACACTTGTACGATTCGTTCAATTACATTAACTTGACTGTCTATTCGAACAGTATGACACTGAAGAGGGAGAGAAAAGAAAATTGCAAGGAACAAGAAAAGTGACGAGTTGAAGCAAGAAATCATATTCTGAATATTAATACTGTCTAGTGGCATGGTAGATCTTAAATAATCTTATGAATTATTTATGATACCAGCGGAATCAATCGTCAGTGACCACCATAATGATTTCATTTTTATCAATCATAAATTACTCTTATAGGACGGTTATTAAGGGTAAAATATATTATTACAGGCTGAAAGGAGCGACCAAACGCAAGGAAAAAGGAAAATACGCTACCATAAAACACGCTATCGCTAACAGTCTACTCTAATGTCAATGTACAAGTTGCTGGACCGATCGCTAATCTATCGTTCTTCGTTAGATTGATTCATTTCGACTGGTAATCAGCCGAGAGCTCTGTAAATCGCCTCTACGTTATCTTATCGCTCGGTCCGTTTTACGGAACCGTAAATACGGTGAGCGCGGCTTGGGAAACGACCACGTGCCCTCGTGTAACTCTCGGGCCGTAAATTATTTAAGCCGGCACAATAATGAGTAAGCAACTTGTGACCAGATAAGCTTTACCATCACTCCGTTCCCTATTACCATACCTCGAATGATGGTAATCAACAGGAAACAGAAAGCGATTCTGATACCAAAGAAACTACATCAAAGTTCACGATTCTATGTACCAGTCACTCGCGTGATCGCGATTAAAGAAATGAGAGAAAAAAAATAAGTTCGAAAGAATTAGCCTCGTTTCAATTGCAAATTTTGATAACAGAATGTTTGTAGAGCAAGTGACACGGTCGTGCAAATAAGAGAGAAGGGGAATCGCTGTGAAAACGAAGCCAGAAGCGGGAGGACGAGAGTTGCAAACAGGCGTCGATGACGGAAGGTTTCTTTTCGAAATCTTGAATGAAAAGTCTGTGCTTCAGCATTGTCGAATTCAATGAAAAATATTCTTAGTCATCGTATTTACACCGGTGAACATTCCTTGAGATTCGTCAGGTAAGACAACAACTTTTTGAGGGTAAACAATGAAAGACGCACATGGTGCGTCGTTCGTTGCATTAGCAAATTTTCAATATTAAAATTCTGAATAAAAGCTCGGGATGGGCTCATCCCTTTCGGATGGTAGGTTCGGAGGACTCCTCCCTGTATCCTAGTTGATGTTTCTATTTTGTATTATTTCAGCAAGGGGATAAAACACTTGGAAAACACAGAGAGATTGGTAGAGGCTGTCGTTTCGCCGCAAACCCGAAAATATCCATGTAGACCGGTATGTTGAAACCTGGCATAAGCTCTGGCTAGATGCCAGCGGCGGCGGTATACTCGCTTGGAGGCCACGCCAGGCCAGAGGCGAGCGGCCTCGTCCACTCGCGAAAAAAGAAAAGAGAGAAGAAAGACCTTAGGTCGGTCTAGCGTTGAACACACCGTTTTCGAATTCGACGTTTTACGAGAAGAGGATATCCAGCCTTGGTCCGAGGACCATTGCGGTAACCGGCTTATCGCGAAATTACCCTCGGCTGCTTTTTAATCATTCGTTGACCTTTTAACTGACCGGGCCGAGTTAACTAGCCTTTTCTGGCCGATAACGGAGAGGGACGTGTCAGAGTCACGCTACAGCGACGTTAATTCGTCAAATCGCAACACACACGACCTCGCGGTACTTGGTAGTTTCTCGTACTCGTGAAAGTAAATAGAGCCACTATCTGTATTTATAACTTGCCAAACTGTATCGTACAAATATCCGACAACAATATTGGACAAAGGAATTCGAGCACGCACCTGGTAACTTAACTAAAAATATTTCTGACAGAAAGCAACAAGCTAAGCGCAACGCCTGGCCAGATTAATGAATTCAGCTACCGAAATACCTGACGTACGCGTGTTTCAAACGTATCCATTGGTTAATGATAGAATTAGAGAAGAAGAGAGAGGCGGTGGGTTACACGCGATAGAAAAAGCACGTGCTCGGGTTCAATTAACGCCCACGATTTAACCGCGGCCGCCACTTCTCCGCATTTCCAGATACTCAATTTCCAATTCGCTCGTAATTCCTTCGCTGACTAAACGCTTATGTGCTTTGCTTCGACGGATTCCTCGCACGTAATATGTTATCTCAGTGTCAATGTTGGATCTCGCGTTATTCAATGACCCGGACATTCAGCGGGTTCCTACCAAATTTCATTGAAAGAAATTTTATCGAATAAAGACCGCGACCCGATCGTCTAACTGAAGTTGATTAATTGAAATATTATACGTAATTTTGTAACACCGGGAATGACTAACGTTAAGAAATAAGCGCCAGAGGAACTTGATCGTTATCAGACCTGTACAATGCGAATCAAAGATAAGCTAAACGCGCACCTACGATACAGTTAACAGGAAAAACAGTTAACCAATGGGTAGTAATGCAGATTACAGTTGTTCAAGGTTCACCGTTGAGTAACGTTTACATGGATGTAATTTTCTGTATCGTTTTCCTTATTTTGCGTTATTGGATAAGTTTCGAAGACAATTCGTTTGCATGTTTTCGGCAGGGCCGGCTCTGATCTCCGAGAAAGGGCCCCTTCACAAAAAAAGTAGCTCGAATAAAATTTATAAAATTACTATTAAAGCTTTAATATAGTAAATGCAATATTATAGTAATTAATAGTAAACATTACTCTTGCATTTTTAGACGCAAAATCGTCTTATGGGGACCCTGGTTTTCAGGGGATGTAAAACGATTTCGCGAAGGAACGCGATGTAACGCAAGTACTAAAAAAACAACTGATAACGATAATAGATCTCATCTTTCTTTATAGTTATCGCTGAACAACCTGTCTCATTCACTCTACACGATATCTACAACCAAAATAATACCGTTGTAAAATAAACAATAGATTATTCGTTTAAAGCCGAAGGCTTTAAAAATAGATTACATTTTTCTGTGGAGCCCCGGCTATATCTTCGTTCACCTTCGTCGAATTTTCAAATTCCCGCGTTGTAATAAATTTTGAACCGCAGGTACCATTAATTGTATCGATGACACGGTTATTCCTAGTCGTTTAATGTCACCTTACAATGAAACCTATTTCATAGCGAACGACGTATGAAACTGGTTGCAAAGTTGAATGGGAAGTAAGCGATTACGTTGAGTCAGGGAACTGTCCTTAATTTACCAGAGCTCTATGTTTCGAATTATTAGCGTAACGCGCCATTAGAATAATAATTAACGCCAACGAGATTTCTACAGTTTCTCTTTCTTTTTCTTTCTTTTATCAATCCATTAATAGCCGGTTATTTGAACCTGCAATCGAGATTTCTAATTTTCAGGGATTAGCAGTCAAAACCGCCAAACGTGATTCTCTTTTTTTTTTTTTTTTTTTTTAATTACCGATAGACAAAATTGAATGAGCGCCGCGATTGAGCGAATCGCAATTACCCAAAGTTGAACATCGAACCTCGTTCGATGGATAATGCAGCTCGACAAGAAAGTCGAATTACTATCTCTCGGTGTTACTAAAAAAAATTGGATCAATCGTTCAAGGGAAAACAAAGTCCCGTTGGGAATAGCCTCTAAATCGATTATCACCGAGAGTATAATAACCGGCCAATTATCTAAGCGATGTAATTCTACTTATAAGACTGACGTAAAACCATGAATGTCAATCTTGGTTAAACGGCAGACTAAATAAATACTACGCAACCGATATTTTATTTCGCTCTCCCTCCTCTCCTATCTCTCCCCCACTCTGTCCTCTTGATAAACGAACAAAACAAAAAGAAATCAACACGCGTGTCGAAAATTAAAACGATCCGAAAGAATGTTGACATTGGTATCAAATGCTCGCGAAAGATCGTGAAAGATATGGAAAAAAAAAAAATGGTTGAAAAAAATAATAATTTTTTGATAAACGTGAATTTTTGACGCCACGGAATCGCCAATTACCATTGAAATCTATCGCATGACATTAATAAAGTTCGTTCCATGGTCAAATCTAAAAGGTTAGTATACTGGTTTGCGAGACAGTCGTATCGAGCTGAACTGAAACCGAGTATATATGTGGATGCAGGTTGAGTAAGTGAAAGTGAGGTTAGGTTGGTAACCGTCACGTGGTGTACCACGGGGTCCAAACGAGGTTAATCGAGAGACCGAGAACCGAGCGCCGGCGCAACCAATCAACATAAATGTATGCTTCTATTACGTTCTTTTTATCGTTTTACAGCTTGTTTATCCGTGTTCTTTGGTTAAGTATCAATATCGTTCTACTTTTATGCGTAAGTTTTATATCAATCGACGAGTAGAAGAAAAAAAAGTAAAATGTTCGCGGAAAAATTCAAACGTCACTACGAAAAGACATCCATGTTAAAAGAAAATATCGAACACGCGTTCAACGTCAGTGGAGAATAAATAAAAAGCGCATTTCGTATTCATTCGATCGCCGCTAGTCAGCGCTGAAGTAGTATTTGCGCGAATTTCGAAGAAAATAAGGAAATGTGCGTTCTGGCAAGACGATCGAGCGAGGGGAGGAGGGGAGATTCGAAACCGCATTCGAGGGGGGCATTCTAATTGATAAATGTTACACGTTAGAAATAATAATTGTTTTTCTCACTTACCAATCAGTGGAAATATATTCGGCTGATCCAGTAACGACTTGAGACTGTTTTCAACAAGGGTGGGAGAAGAACGATCTTTGTCACTCATTTCACGCACTGCGCCACGGAGCCGCACGTTCTAAGGTACACACGCACACACACTCAGTTCGTACACGGTGAACACCGTACGAAAGAACGAACAAGAGATATAGATAGACTTTTCAATGTGTGGTAACGCGAACAACACAAGTGTATACGCGTAGCAGAAACAGCACACACGGATAACAACGAGTCTAATAACAACGAGTGCGAGAACGAGAACTATGTGCCTCCCGTGGGACACAAATTAAATGGTTCTTCCAGACCGGCAGAGAGAAAAGGCGCCCGCACCCGAACCTCTCACCTCGTCACGCTGTTTCTACTATCACCCGAGACGGTCGCGGCCCGTTCGAACACTCTGGCCACGTTAAAATAAACGCGGAGCGCTACCCCGTGCACGGTGCTCTTGAAAATCAATCTAAAAGTGGATCGGCTGGTGGCGCAATCTCCTGGCTACACTCTGGACCGACTCGCGAACAAGTGAACGACGCCTACCGTACTGATAACGAATGCCGTCTACATATGCCTTATCGCGATGCGCGCGCATTCGTTTCCCCCCCCACTCTCTACTCTTCGTTCAGCCATTTGGCCATGATCAGCGATTCTCGAGTCGAATCTTTAACCATCATATTTCTTTTATATTTTTCATTATTTTTCCAATTGTTCATTCGTTCATTCATCCCCTCATTCGTTCATTGTTTTCCTTAGGCACTTTTGGTAGATTTAACGTCGAACATTCAGATATTAAAAATGATTATTTCATGTCAACTATGTTGTTTTTGTTACTGTCAATTGTTTTTATGGAATTGTTTGTAATGTTGTGGATAGGAAGTTTATGGTTGAGATTTTCTGACGTGTAACCTAAAATAATGATATAGTAATTAGTAATACATAATAAAAGAAATTGATATTTTGAAAGTGTTGAAAACTAACACGAATCATATTCATAAAATGAGAATTCCATTAGTAGATATACGAATGAAAGGTTTGAATAAAATATTATTGAATATGATTCATATAGTTTTAATTGTAGAGGAAATAAATGCTTTCTTATTTCTCATTCTTTGAATGCTGAATATTTTTATGTTACTCTGTATATACACGTTCAAGAAAAGTAAAACAGATTACAGTTTGCATAAATTAATTCTGGCATGTTAATACTTCTAAGTACAAATTGAACACAGTTTCGAATACCAAAATCGATCGTAACAATACGAATTTTATCTGCTTGTAAGGCTATAACATAATTACAATTCGGTACATTTCCTTGTAACACAGTTAAAATTCTATTGCAATTTTGGTACTAAGCACGTCGCGGTGATACTTATAGCTTACTTTGTTAATACAAGTATTTGATACAACTTCTGGAAAATCCTCTGCACATAGCTAATAAGAAATATGTATTTTTTTTATCTAACACATATAAAGTACTAACTACACTTGCATACATACCATCTTTCTAACGAAGCTCTGAACAAATGTTCTATGTTATATCAAACTGTTCTCAAACTTAATGTCAAAAAATGATAGGAAGCAAAAGATATTTTTAAATAAAGCACATATTATTTAAGTTATCCTTTTTTGCATACTTTCTTGAAAATCAAACTGTTTCGACAAAAAAGGCAAATAGAATGCGAAACGAATAGGTAATATTCCGAAAAACATATTTACAAAGAATTACCCCATACTAATACTTCATTATATTCAACATTCAGTCAAACTGATTTTTTCTTTTTTCAATTTCAACGTATCAAATGCATTCATCAGAGTTGTTGTTACTAAAAAAAAAAAAACCAGCTTACATGGTAAAGAGAACTGCTCACACCCAGACACTCAATGATTCCGTGGTAGTTTGAGAAGTAGTAAAGCTATTTCTCTGTTTAAAGAGAGCTTGAATTTCGATCGGGGTCGAAGACCATCTGCGATGCCTTGCTTTTTCCAATGGTACTTCTGGTAAACCTACTTCCGTGTGACAACCTCTGATAGGGGAGATTGGCAGGGCACCGGGTAAGCCAATTTCTTGAAACGAACTCATAGAAGAGAATCCACTTTCATCCTCGACGCTGCTCACACTGGCGGCTGGTTTTGATTTAGAACACTTTTCCTTCTTCTTCTTCTCAACTTTCCTAGTACGTCTGATCGGCGTCGAGGTCGGTGTACACATGAAAACACCATCGTGCTCTGGCATCGAAACGTTGAAAGAAGCGTTACGCGGAAGTCCGTCATCTTCTTCGGTGGTTTTGCTGCTTCCCGAGTTGAGAGAGGTGGCGTCGATCGACCTCCTCACTCCAGGAAGGAGATTTTGTAGATTTCTATCAACTTCCACGCTGTTCGACGAAGATTTGAGAAAACAAGTCCTGCTGTCGTTATCTGTACTGCTCGATTCGTTTCCACGGTCGCAGACCGAGTGCCTCTTATAACCGGAAGCATCCTGCAAGCTCGTTGAGTTAACAAAACTGTTGCTCTGCAGTGACAGAGACACCTCGTTATGATGATTATTATGACGATGATGATCTATGGGCGAAGGTGACGATTCGTTATTTTCCATTGACGAAATCCTGACCAGGTCGGGTTCTTTCATAGCTAGTAACGATTGAACGGTTCTCATTAGCCTGCAAATAAATCAATCGTACAATTACAATTCTGATAGCTTGTATCCGGTTGAAGAAACGAGGACCACTTACCTAAATGCTTCCTGAGACAATTTCTCAGGTGGTATATCATTCGGGTCGAGCTCCGCCTGTTTCGGCCTTCGATAAACCACACCCTCGTGGGTTTTATTCATCTCCTGAGATTTATTGCGGGGCGGCGTGCAGTGAGCCGGGTCGTTTCTGCGAAGCATGGACCATGTGAATTCGCGGTAACCCGTGGTACACGGTGAGATCTGGGTGACCGATTTCGCCCTGGTGAAACGGGACGAGTCCGAGGAAGACGTCGATGATGCCGAGGCGACGCGATTCGGCGAGGCGTCCGCGTGTACCGCGTGAACGCTCCGGCTACGCGGTACACGTCCAGACGAATTTTTCTCCTTGTGATTACTCTTCTCGTGAAGAATATCCAAGCTCTTCCGGGCTCGGTCCAGGAAACGCATCACTTGCTCCATCAGGGAACGGTACATCTGTCTGTTAGCTTCTATCTGCAAGTTTTACGAATCAATGGGTGCTAGGGCAATGATTGCTAGAACAATGGGTGCTAATGCAACGGCTACTAGAAAGGTGGATGCTGGGAGTAATGAAGCGTGTACTGTTCGACTCGTTTCACAATTACTACAAATATTTCCATCGTATGATATTTGAAATAAAAATTTCTCTACGATAAAACTCGATGTTTACTCGAGTAAGTAAGGACAGGATTGAAATAATTTTCAGGGTCGCATGTAAAAAAGGATGAACGTGTTGGAATAAGGTAATCTGGTCGAGGACATTACCAGTTTCCTCTCGCAAGTCAAGTATGTTAAACGATCGTTGTTCACGGTTAAATACAAACCTGTTTCACCTGCCACTGCAATGTTTCAACTTGAGTTTGAAGAAAAACACTGTCGATTACTTGTACGTGAGGTATTTGACTGGTCGTCAAGGCGTTCTGCAATCTTCGGTTCTCCTCTATCAGCGACTGGCATTGCTGAAACGAAACGAGATAAATCGATAAGTCGTCGATGAAAATTTCATATCGTACTTTATATAGAAATCACCTACGACTTTCCTGAACGCAATTATTATTTCCACGAAAGAAAAGAAGAGACTCTGACACGCGTTATAACACAACACGTTTCACCTTGCGTAGGAGATTTTCACACGGTGGAGTGAACACGAATCCACGTTAGCAGAGCGTACACCTGTTTATCGTACGAGAATTGCTTTTCTAATAGCAACATCTTTCACTTCGAACAATATCCTCTTCCTTATAAATGTCTCGTAGATTTATTAATTACTCTTACTGGTTAATTGGAAACAGAAGAGCGCGAATTGGGAAAAGTGGAGGGTCATTCGATATCTGATATTCCAAAACATAAATCACCTAAGTACATAATAATCGGTATAATTAAACGATCCCTTAGAAATACTAATTGAATTCTAATAATAGGCTTACAAAGAGAATAAACGTGTTCGAATCTCGATTATTCCGATCACGATTTCAAGCCATTATTCGTCCAACAATTAGACATCGACAACGAGCCACTTTGGGCTCGTTGAATAGCTTTTCGACTGAATAATGGACCCTCGAAAAAAAGGCCCCTCGCGACCAACATTTCCATTCCTCCGGCGTTCTCCTCTTTTTTTCGGCGTTAGAGACGAAGTTCGAAGAAACACGAGGATTTCTGACATTTCCATACAATGGCGGGAAAAATACGGTACGAGTTGCGAGATATCCGGCGATAGGCCATGCTTGATAACGAAGCCGGCATATGTCGAAAGAATCATGCGTTCATCTGTTGAATCGTTCTTATCGCCTTTATTTAAATCGCCGCTCGAAATACCTATCTGTCTCCCGGTTACGTGGACGAATTTCAAAAACAAACATGCTTTTTACCTTTGGCGCCCGAGAAGACAGCGAACGATAAAAATGGCACGAATCGGATGGGGGAAAATGAAATGACCAAAAGATGAAGATGGATGAAACGAGCCATGTTTAGTACAAGCAGTATGTACAAGTAGAAACGAAGAAATACTGAATAATTCAGGCAGTGACCGTATCCAGTGACGTCACGATAGTATTCAGCCGGTGGACGGTTCAAGCTGAGCGACCATGCGGAACCCCATCCGCTTCGGTCCCCGCGGTAGAAAAAAAATTTCCGACGCAGAAATTCCCTTATGTGGGCCTCGATTCTCGCAAGAAACCCTTCGAGGTCAACGAAGAAAGCACAGGTAAAACAACCGTCCAGATCCTTGCGTCACCGTGTACCGTTTCACCGTACCGCGGGGCGAGAGAGAGAGAGAGAGAGAGAGAAAAAAATGGGAATGATTTTCTTGCAATAGCCCTCGTCACACAATGTGCTCTCGCTAGTCTTACACGCGTGTGTATTCACTTACACGTACGTTTTTCATAAAATCAAGCCGTTTTCAGTGCGCATCGCACGGGTTTCGCAATGCTCCGCCATATACACAGTGGATTCAACGTTAGAGCTATGAAACCTGGGTGAAATTTATTTATTTTTAATTTATAAGTAAGTGAAAACGCACCGTATGCGTCATGTATGATATAGAGTACTAACGCACCATATGCGTTATCTATGATATAGAGTACTGACGCACCATTTGCGTCATCTATGATATAGAGTACTGACGCACCATATGCGTCATGTATGCTATAGAGTACTGACGCACGATTTGCGTCATCTATGATATAGAGTACTGACGCACCATATGCGTCATGTATGCTATAGAGTACTGACGCACCATTTGCGTCATCTATGATATAGAGTACTGACGCACCATATGCGTCATGTATGCTATAGAGTACTGACGCACCATTTGCGTCATCTATGATATAGAGTACTGACGCACCATATGCGTCATGTATGCTATAGAGTACTAACGCACCATATGCGTCATGTATGATATAGAGTACTAACGCACCATATGCGTCATGTATGCTATAGAGTACTGACGCACCATATGCGTCATGTATGCTATACAGTATTGACGCACGAGATGCGTCTTATCGAATATCAAGGAAAGCGTTACTTTCATCGTTAAAATCGGTAGGAAACGTGATGCAGACTTTAGGTCAAAGGCATGTTCAGCATAATTAAACAGCTCACGGCTGCATACACTTTCTAATTGGCCATAATTCAAAAGTAACCGGGATAAAAGCGTGCTTTCGATTTAGGAGAAGTAAGATTCGCTATCGTTGAAACAATTGCCGGTACACGATCGATTTGTTAATTTATCGTGCTTTATAATCATCCTTGAAAGCCGTTCATTAGCGTTCGCGTATAAATTCCTACTTTTGTCTACATCGAAACCAAGGACAATGACTTGGGAACAAAGAGGCATGCCTAGTTTTTTTTTTTTTTTTTTCTTCCAACCATCATTTAACCCCGCTAATGACCCCAATCTCACCGTGCGTTTATAAAATAATCAATACGCGCGTGGAATATTCCGTGCAATTACTTTCAGCGAATTTCTGCAAAAATTTATGCCTCGAATTTAAAGCAGAAACGAGCAGCCTAATTTCAGTAATTTAAAGTCTAATTAGCGAGGATCGTTCTTGTAAAGAAAACTTATTATCTTTGATAATTTCTTTCTTAATTCGAACGGAGTGGTCGAATAACGAAATATTGTACATACTTAGGCTGGTTTCATTGAGAAGGGGCGAAGAAATTCGGCGCCGCGTGCATAGATGCTGAACGTGCCAGAAGAATGAGAAACACGATACGATATAGAAGATGCGTGACAGAATGAAGAAGAAGAAGAAGAAGAAGGGGGAGACAAATGCATTAAGGGGTGATCTCCAAAATGGCAGTGCGCCGCCGAATTTATTTTTGGTGCATTCCAGTCAAACGAACAGAGAGAAAGAGAGAGAAATATCCACCGTCAGAGCAACGGCTAACGTGCAGACGATGTTTCGCTAGAAAGATCAGCCAGCTTCTTCTTGTTGGAATACTGAAATTATTTCTTTTTCTCCTCTCTTTTCCTCTTCCTCTCTCGCTATGCTCTCTTTCCATTTCCGCCGTAGCCCGACGCCACCAACCGTATTTCCAACCAGACCGTACCTCCAACACCTATCTTTTTCTTTTTTCCCTCGACACCGCGCCGTCCTTAATTGTCGGTTAATTATTAAAACAAATAATAGCTAGGTATATAAGTATTTTAATCTAGATAAAAAAAAAAAAAAAACGGTGGAATCATTCTACAGAAAAACACTAGGAATCTGAAGGAGAGATAATTAACGGTTCGGTGTTTCATTTTAGAAATGTGTGTTACTGTGTTCTTAATTATTCTCCGGATATATTTTGAATAATTTCGAACGCCCTCGACCGGAAGAGCTTATTAGCATATTCAACCCGTTAAGAGGTGGAGTAAAAATGAATGTTTCTAACGAAAAGTATTGGTCAAGCGCGTTTAAGGGAATACTACGGATTCGTGATTCATTCATTAGTATTCCAAGTTCGCGGTGTCGCTGCATCTTATTGTGCGCGCGGAAATTACATTTTACGCGGATGTTATTTTGATGCGCGATTTCGATGCTTCGATGAATGCAACTGCATCTCCGTATGCACCGCACGGACGGTCGTTACGGCTTAATTCGAACATCATTTAAGAATCATCCATTATTCACGGACGAAAATCAGTATAAATTTTTACAAAGAAGAATTAGGTAATTTTCTAACCCATGATAAATCGAAATAGATAAAAAGCCGGGGATAGAAGAGAGAAAAAAGGCAACGGTATCGCGCATTTAATAGTGCGAAAATCGAGGGATCAATTAGACAATGGCGAATAAAGAATACCGGATGTAAACCGTGGGAATGATTTTCAGTGACACCGTGCTATCGGCTGTTATCCGTTTTCTCGACTCGGTGCCGGTAATTAAAGAGCGAATTGTTCCCGCTAATCAGTTAATTAAAGGCGAAGAAAACCGATCAGCGGAGAGTTGTTAAAAGAAAGTAGAAAAATCATTCGCTTCCATGTAAAACAATATCGAAAATGAATTTCTCCCAACGTTATTTAGTAACTATAATTAAAGAGTTTCCCTTTGAATTTACTATATCGAATCGATAATAAACGCGGATCGATTCCATTGCCATTCGAACACATTCTAACATTCCACAGAAGCGAGACGATAGAAAATGAAGATACATCCAATAGGAACGATCGTTTCAGCAGAGTGTTTCGACAACTCTGTTTCATAGAAATTCGACGGTAGTTCGGCCTTTTTAGCGTCGCTGAAACGTTTCTTTCACGAACGGAAGGATCGCGAAACGTGGAAGAAACGCGAACGGAAGACGAAGAGGATGGTATTCAGTGGTGCGGAAAATATGTTCGTCTGGTCGGCCGAAGGAAATTGCAGCCGGCAAACTTTCCTCGATGCATCGTCGATGGTTTCTAGCGATGCTCGCGTAAAAAGAAGAAAAAAAAAAAAAGAATTGTATACACGAAGCGTCTTTTCAAGCGAGCCTTACGCGTTCTACGCTTCGATTGAACATACAACGAGGCCTTAAAAGTTTCCGCCGGTATCGTTTACGAGGGTGAAACGCGAATTCGAGAGCCGGCGGAGAGAAATTCGTCTGGTCAATTTGAAATTTTTATTCCCTCTAACCGACTTCAAAACGCGTAGACTCTGATACAATATCATCGCATAAAAATCGTGTAAGAAAATGGCACTTGCGGCGTTAATATTAGTCAAATATGAGGCCATAACTTGATGGTGTCGGAGTCGTTTCAGCTCGATCTCGTTCGAACATCGCGATCCAAATTTAATCTAAATTGCGCAAGCCTTTTGGAAGAAGATTCCTCTCGCTATTTTTTAACTCACGGGTGCGATCCACGTGGCGTGAACGGAATGTCACGTTAGATCAAGAGATCCATAGGAAAATGAATATTTCAGATACTCCGAACGGAGGTGGATACGAGAAATAGAAAAATAGAAGAGAAGAAGTTGATTATTTAAAGAGCATGAAACGATTGGACACGAGACAGGCTGTTTTCGATGAAACGGCGCGCGAAATACGCGACTTTCGAGGAAAAGGAACGTGGAATGTTAGGGATGTAGAAGAAGACTCAAGGCCGAGCTACGGACAGAATTAGATTCCTCAACCTCTTTTCTATCCTTCTGATTTTTCCACATTCCGTTCCCTAATGAAATAGGCGGAATGAACCTGATACACGAATCTTCCTAACGATCCCTCTGTTTATTTCATTCTTCGCTATTTCGTCGTCGACAATTTTAACCTGGATATTTTCGATGTTAGGGTTGCGATCTCAATGGGAATGCCTCGTTTAACGCTGTATGTACAGGGTGTAAAAAAAATTAATGATCATGATACAATTTATACCTTTTTAATTAATTTAAACCTGTCAACCTGAATCAACTTGAAAGTAACCCCCGAGCCAAAACAATTTCCCACCCCTGGTGCAGTGTAATACGTAGAGACATGGTTCTACCACCGCTCTACCATTTGGACGTACAGTGTTCATTGAAATCATGCTCCTTACCGTGGTCTTAATATCGTTTACACAGCTGTACTTGATACGTTGGTAAATAGAATCGCGCCAATTTATCATCCGTAAGGCTGACAATGAGAATTTTCGAAGTATACGAAGAAAGCAGAAAACTGGGCGCTAAATAACTGTACTAGAATCCGAATAAAAACGTACCAGGATGGTTGGATCGATCAAGCCGAACGAGATAGTGAACTCATCCCGGTGTGCAAAAAAAAAGAAAAAGAAGAAAGATTCACCAACACAGGTGAAAAGAAAACGGTGCGAACACGTGTAACCCGTTGATACACGGTGTAACTGTAAAATTCAAAGTGGCTAGTTTTCCGATCTCACGAGGATGAGATCGCTTAGCTCGATTCGAACTGGTACAGAGCCGCTGGTATCTGCGATTGTATGTAATATCACACGACGCGTCCACGGTCCACGGATCTTAATATTGAATATCAGCTGGTGAAAAATTCGACTAGCAAGGATATCGCGTGGAATCGGGTAGAGAGTCGATCAGTTTTTAAACGTACGAGCAGCCTCGTTCGATCTAACTGATTACCAGGTTACGTAAACGTAGGATAGAAACGTTTGATCGAACGATCCTATAGTATTTATTTCATAGATTCTAATGAAAATAAAACGATTAGATACATTTTCAAAGAAATTGGTCTAAAATGATCAACTTTTACGATTTTACTTGGAGAACAGGTACAAGCTCACCTCCTTCATCCGAAGGATTAATCAATCGGCATGTACACCTGCGTAGATTTACTTGGAACGAGCATACCTGAGGATCGATCCTTCGGATTCCAAGTGAAACTAACAGTATCTCTATTGAGACTACTTATATAAAAGTACCAGACGGAGAAATTAAATGGTGCTACTATTATGCGCTTCAGTGCATAGCTATAATTCATTCTTGTTACCGCGCTTTTCTTTTTTTTCTTTTCTTCAAATGAACATCTATAACGAAACGCTGCTTATATCGGTATTTTTCACAGGGGAGCCTAAATTGATTTCAAGTGCACCCAGGTATGCTTGTTACAATACTAATGTTCCGTTAGGTGGGACGATGTAAATGCTTTTTCAGGCGAATAGCAGGGGAATTAAGAAAACGGTCGACATTTACCTCGCACCTTTCGCCAAAGGTGTAGCGAAATTGGTAAGGAGGCATTGTTTCCAGTAAGAGGGAAGGAGGGAGGGACTGGTCGGTCGATAAAGCGTTAATTGGTCATCTCCTTCGGAACAGGTCACCCTGTATAAATTGTGAAAGGTACGTAGGCCGTGTTTCAAGCCTGTATCATAATGCCGCGATGGCGAAAGGTAGACGGGCGAGGAATTAGAATCACGGCTGGCGCGAAATTCCAGCTGCTTATTTCTCTTTTTTTTTCTTTTTTTAGTTTCAACAATCGTCGGAAAGGATTAAAATACTTATCTAAGAATTTCTTAATGTTACTAAATATACGTATCCTTATTTCACCACCTGATTCTACCAGCCCACGGTATTGTTTCAAAATTATACCTGACATACAATAAACGACTCCTCTCCGAAATACCCTGGGGTTTATTATAAATCAACCTTTGTTTCAAACATAATTCAGAGAGAAAAAAAGGAGAAATTCCCAAATTCTCTTTACCTAAGAAACGATCGATGGAATTATAATAGAAGGATCAGAAACAATTCTCTATTCGCGAGTAAAAGGTAAAATTTTTATTTTACAATCAAGTTAAGATCCTTTCCAACGAATACACACTGAAGAGACTACCAGACGAAGAGCGTGGGAATATGACCTCTGAATTCACCTCGTTCTTGCGCTCTCGAATCTAAAACGCACACCTCTGAATATCTAATCTTCCCTTTCCATTCTTTCCCCACCGGTGTGCAAAGCGAACGATAAGAGTTATCAGAGAGTATTCTGAATTCTTTCACGAGGCGTTAACTCGACAAAACGAGGTTAAAGAAGGTACCTTATCAGACTTAAAGTGTAATTTATTAATCGTTCGAACGATTCGAAGAAAGTCGAAGAAAAATGAATCAGAATCGTCCGTGATCATCTGACGTGTATGAATTTCTAATGAAACAGCAAATGTAGGATCGAGAAAAGGGGTGGAGGGTATCGTTGTCGCGTACACGATAATTTGTCGCGACATCGTCCTTTCAGGATGATCATTATTCCAGAGCCGTGGACAACTAGGTAGCCTTTCCCGCCGCCATCATCTATCCACCATGCTCGTTAATGAACAAACCATCAATCAAAGCGTTTCCGGTGCATGCACTCCCTGATACACAGCGACCACCACTTCTCCTCGACATTAATAAGAATTTAGGACGTTTAGATTATTGTACCAACAGCTTCTTATTATATTTTTATTACTCTCGCCTTCGACTTCCGGTGGTATTATTTTCATTTATTTTCCTTCTCTCTATCTTATGGAATATTTAAAAATTTTCTTACAGTTGCAAAATGAATTGTCAAGGAAAAGCGAGTGATTTCAACGCCTGGCAATATTCGCAACCGCGTCGATGTTCCCAGAAAATTCAAGTATTAAAGTCAGATGGTAGACGGACACCGGTTGTATTCGTCGTGGCAAACGTTGTATTCATCGGGTAGGTTTTATTGAGCGGAAGTTCGCTCGAGCCCCTTCCGTAATTATCAGTCGTGATATACCTACCACCGGCACGCCGGCTTTGTACGTTCGCCGAACGCGTAAAACCCGTAAACGTGGCTTTCGCGTGTTCGTTTCTTTACGTGACATCATCATCCTGCTCTTTTTCGACGCGGTGACCACCAGGATGTAGCTGCACACGCGTGCATGTCCTCACGAAAAAAATCACTCTTTCATTTCCTTTCCCGTGAAATCCCCCTTTTAGCAGGTGCACCAACGCCCCTCCTTGTTTCTCAACGGAAGTCGACACTGTTTTCGAAAGAGCGATTCAATTCCTCTTTTAAACTTTCTGATTTTACTTTACACCGATAATGTCAAGTTTCAGAAAACCGGGGTCATAAATTTTTTCTTCAAAATACTACAGGATCAGTTTAAAATAAAAACTCGATTTTACATTTCAAGCGATTATAATCGTAAATTAGATGTAATACTGTCGGTTTAAACTGTAGCAAGTGTAATGTTTGCTCTCTGTTTGGATAAAATGCTTTGTTTCCGGTTGTATAGCAACTTCGTATGTCATAACGCGTGCAGAATGTTAAGTTAACGAGCTGTACATATGTATTTCGATGAACGCGTTGAATGGCGCGTGAGTCACCGGAAGTTCACGATATTCGCAAAGAGTAAAGCTTTCGTTATACGAAAATCGTAAATTTCGATTATGTGTATCGAAATAAAATAACTATCGTGAAAATAATACAATTTTCTTCCTCGGGAATTAAAGAATTAACAAAATATTAGAAATTATATCGGAGAAGGAACTTGTATACAGAATGTTATTTAAATGTAAGAAAAGTGTTTAGTATCATAGAATTATGTAAGTCCATCGGGAACGACGATAATAACCGTACATTCAGAGCAACGATTCTCAGAAGAATCGGACAACGGTACAAACAGAAGTGTCAAAATAACTGAACTGACCTGACTACCACTTGGTCGCGAAACATTCAGCCAGCTAAGCCGGTGCGGTTAGTTATTTTCAGTAATACCGTGGTATCGTTTCCAGTTGGTCAGCCTCTATTTTAGACCGACAAACGACCCACGATTTTCAAATTGTTTCACGGGAACATCTGTGCGACGAAATAAATAAAAAAAAGTCGCTCCACAGGTTAGAAAAACGTGTCGCACAGTGCTACCAATTTGTGGCGCTAATACGAAATAAATGTTTCTGCGCATGCGCGAACGTGCATCGTCACTGCGTTGCTCAAAAGAAGAATAGAAAATGCTATGCAAAATATAAAATTGAACATTGTCAACAGTTTGTTAGCACCTGATGCTCCCTCGTTAAATGATTTTTAATTTTCTTTTATACGATATAATATTATGCAACTTAGAATTAATAGAATTGTATAAATGAAAAATTGTCGGTTAAACTTACCTTTCGCAACTTCTCCAATTCGTTGATGTCTGTAGGGGGAGGTTGAATCACCTAGGAGACAAAAAAAAAAAAAGAAAATTGGTATTACTTGAGAAAGAATAATTCTATCATTGAGGATATAATTTTTGTAACAAATAATACACAAACAATTTTAAAAAATAGATACGCCACCACCACAGTACAGTATGCCATTTACCTCGCTCATTTTCCAAACTTTTGCGTTCTCCTGATTGAAAACATTGTTCTCCGTGATCCTTACTCTATCTTCGAAATTGACGAGGGAGAAAAACTGATTGTTGCCATTCGGTTCCGCTTCTTCGGCGATGGTGTTACCAAAAAACTCGTAATCGAACGATTTCGAATCACGACAGTTGGTTACGAAAGAACGCGCGAAGCTGCTTTTGAAGAAGTGTCCCAACGACACTTCGCTTCCGAGAGCGAATTCCACTTTCGGTGTATCGCCCATAATTTTTCGTAGAAAAATCAGTTCGCAAAAGAACAGCCTGCTTTTACAGCCCCGACCCGAGATTACTCTCTATCGAAATATAACCCGGAGACAAAATAGCAGCAACGAAAAACGAACTTGTTCATTCCGCGAACGTCAAAGAGTAACGTTGATGTTGATTGATCACTACGAAACGGATTTAAAACCTCTAATTTCACTTGTTTTTGTTTTCATGCACGCGACGCCATGTGCATTAACATCAATGATAGTCAAATTGCGAGTTACATTGATTAAATCTCTTTATACATTAATCAAATTAAATTGAACCACAAGGAAAACTGATCACACCACACACCGCTGATGTTTACAGGACGGGACTTCGTGTCAAACTGACAATGAACACTCTACGGTCACCGGCACCACAACCTGAACTCGAGCCACACGGCAAGGACTGAAAACAACCACCAGAAATTGTACACTGCGCATGCGCTTACCTGCAAATTAATAACTTAAATTGTAACATTTAAATCAGCGGTGAAAGTTCCTTAAAATTTTTACACTTAATAGTTATTTAAATTTGTTTGAAAATAATTTCATGAACTGGTCGAAATTGTTGTGAATTTATTAAAATATAAAGTTATGATTATTCTTTCGATAAGTCACTAGATGGCGCAATACGCGTAATGTGGTAATGTACGATAGCTGTTTCTAGTTTATGTTGAATTTTTATATTATAATTTATAATTGTGATATATGAAAACGGAATAAATCTTTTTTACACTGCTTGTATTTACACAGGTAATTAATTCCAGTGTAATTCAAATCATTTTTAATACACTGATACTAATACTACCATTCAAAAAGTCACTCAAAATTATCCTATGCCCAACCTAATATAACCTCGGGTGTTTACGTGATAATTACATTTTAGGGGTAGCGAAATATAAGTCCATAGAAGAAAAATAACCGTTTATATTAATTTAAACATATATAAAGAAATGCCACGATTACCATTGCATCCATCATCTGGAACTGGTATTGTTAACATCTTTGCCAAAACTATACGATTTGTTCGTTACGGATGCGCCAACAGACCATTTTATCATATTGTTGTTATGGATGTAAGTCCTTATAAATGTTCCTTATTAAATGAATAATTATGTATATTAAACTATTCCTTTCAGACAAAACTACAACAACATAAACCTCCAATAGAACAGTTGGGTACTTATGATCCTCTTCCAAACAAGTACAATGAAAGAATAGTTGCTCTGAATTTAGAACGCCTGCAACATTGGATAGGGAAAGGTGCAGATATATCAAAGCCAGTAGCTACAATATTAGGAATTGCTGGTTACCTTCCGATACATCCAAAAACTTATCTTACAGCATGGAGAAATCGAAGGAAAGCTAGCGAAGAATCTAATTCAAATACAAATTCAGTAGCAGAATCTGGAGGCTAACCCTTACAGATTGATTTATTTATGTTTAACTGTTAGCTTGTAGATAATATGTACATTTAAATAAAGTTTTTACAGAAACGAAAATAGAGAAACAAATTGATTTTGCATTATATTGATATACAATTACAAGATATATATTTATATACTATTAAAAAAAAAAAACAAACATTAAATTGATATGTTTTAAATTATATTATAATGCATGCAATACGATCTTCAATACATGTATTCATCAACTTTCACTGGGTTTGCAAATGTTTCTCTAATATTTATAAATGTTAAAAGGTTTTCATATTTTTCTTTTTGAATTTAACTGAAAAAAAAAAAAAAAAAACACTTCCCCAGGTGAGGCTCGAACTCACAACCCCGGCATTGCTCACGTTTCACTGTCTTATAAGTACCGTGCGCTAACCAATTGCGCCACTGGGGAGTTGTAGTTGGCATTTTCTTATTTACATACATATAGTTGTTGTCGAAAAAAGCAGTACAAAATTACTAAAACTTACGAAATGTAGTTTGTTATTAGCGTTTTCAAAGAATAATATTACACAGAAACATAACTCGACTAAATTCTGTTATTCTGAACATAACCATAAATGCTGTACGTTAATAGTTTAAGAAACAACATTCATTATCATTATTATTTTACCCAATGATATTTACTTATTTATTTAAAAAAAATATTTATTATGGATTTTTTATGACAACAATCATACATGTTTACATATTATTCAGCACTGTTATCTACTTCATATGAATCAAGGGCAGAACACAATTTCTTCCATAAATCGATAAGATTTTGTTTTGTGAGCATTGGTTCACAAAACTCTTCTAATAACATCCTATTTTCTTTTGCAAAGTTGTCACCTGAAAATAATTGATGCCATAATAATTAATTGTAACCCAAAAATTTATGTTATGTGATTATATCACCTGCTTCTGAAACATCTATCACAAAATAATGTTCATGTTTCCAAATTCGTTCAACAAATAATATTTTCCAATTCATTTTTAAATATGTTTGTTGAACATTTTCAGGTGAATGTATACTTATTATAATTCCTCCATTATCATCCATACATAATTCATAATTTATATAGTTTTTAGCTCTTAAATTATCTATGATTTTCTTTCTTATCATATTTTGTTCAGTATAGTGCACCATTGCTAAAATTAAAACATGTAACATTGTATCTTAGTTTTATTAATTGGATAACATTTAAATTTGGAAAATACCAGATGTAAGAAGTGAAAAATTCTTCATCTTAATTATATTTTGTATGCATGGATCAATTTCTAATCTATAACACTTGTTAATATTTATATAATCACACTTTATGCTACAAATTTCAAATTCTTCTTTTCTCTGCAATAAAATAAAAAATCACAGGAATTTAATTATTTGTTCATTGTATGTGTACCTTCTACATATATTCATTAGATATATAACTATATATTTATACCTCTATCTTTACTAATAACTCAACATGAAATTTTAAAGTGTTTATTACTGCAAGAGCTGTATATTGATAAAGATTATTTTTTATCCATTTTCTATCAATATCTTTAAATGCAATACCAGATATTTTTTGAGTAATTTCACACAATTTATGTTCATAGCGTTCTACCTTATTTTCTATATTACTGGTATTTTGTACAGTACATGGTTCCCTATAATAAAAATAAAAAGCATGAAAATATTGTATTATTTACAACTAAATGTTAATATAAAACATAAGTTATAAGACCACTGCCTTATGACAACTTTTTGTTGATTCCTTTCCTGCTTCTTTAACTCTTCAAATAAATCAGAAGCTTTCAGAAGAAGTTTTTCCCTCAACTTTTTTAATGCTGTCAATTCTTTATCTTCCATTATTAATCTGAAATGAAATCATTTTCAAATTGTTAAAAAACTGAATTTAATTTAAATAATACCGCTATATTCATGATACCTTATTTGTAATAAATACTCAAAATACGTAAGTAATGCGTATTTTAATTTCTACAGTTTTCAGATGATGTAATTTATAATTAATGTAAATAAGTAGCTTTTAAATGCGGGTAAAAATTAAGAATTAAAATCACAAATGTCACGCACGAAAAGACGCAAGAGCAGACGGTTGAGCGATACTTTAGTTTGTGACGTCAAATTAACCTCAATTTCATAGACATTTATTGTTCTGTCAGTATGAATGTATACAAAATCTAAGCTACTATTAATTATTTTTTTTTATACTGTACGTAGCATTCAAATTAGTGGATAATGCGTTTTTCAGCCATAAATATATTTATTATATGTTTTTAGATTTCTTTATCCAAAGGAAAGTTAAATGAATAATATATTCCTAACATTTCATGTGATACATTTCTCATAAAAGTTTTAAAAGCATTAATATGATGGATGATGAAACTTTAAACAGGTGAGTTTATTATGGTTTTTGTGTAACTGTTTTATTTATTTTGCATTTTCATAAGTAATGTAATATCTGTAATGTCATAAAGCGATGAAGAATGTTAAAATATACCTTCAAAATTCTTTTATTTAATATCCATGTATTAAGCTAATGCAACGTATTGTAATTTTAAATTTAGACTTGCAGTTGAAGCATTATTAGAAGAAGCAAAGCTTGGAGCAAAAAGGGCAGAAATAATGGGCCCTAGTGGATGGATAAAACCAAAGGAATGTATTAACAAAAGATTCCTTCATTCAACTTTACGTAATGTTGTTCTTTCAAATAAGTATCAAGTGAAAAAGAAAAGTGAAAGACAATTATATAAATCAGAGAATACGTTAAAATAATTGATACTGTATGATATCATTTCTTATTTGTGAATAGAAATAACTTTTATTATATATAATTTTTATGTTAAGTAGCTTTTAGAATATTGATAGAAACTGTAATTAATGTAAAATATGAAGAGTAAATGAAAGTAAATTGTAAGTACAAAAATATGATATAATGTAGTAAATATAAGTGTAATATATTAATAATGTACAATAAAAATTAAAATAATGCTTAATAATGCAAAAAAATAAATTGATGCAATATTGATGCTATTTTCTAAAGTCAGAAGTCATTTACTGCCATTTTCATTTGTATATTCTAATCTAAAAATTATCTCGAAGTAATTCACATAGATAGTTTGAATCAAAGTATATATATATATATAGAAACAAGTAGAATTATTTTCCAATTGAAGTGAATTTATTTTGTAATTTTTTTGTTTTGCACGTTAATAAATTAAGAAGTCTAAAATAAATTTTTTAAGTATTACAGATCCTTGTTTTGTTAAAATATGTCAGCAATTAATAAACTTAAATATAGTAATTAAAAATATAATTTTTTAATAAAATCATAAACCTATGAAGATATTGATCAAATTTTAGTTATTGTGTTCATTACAGTTGTATAACAGCCCGGAAGCCGCATGCTAAGCTGTTGTTATCTTCTTCCGGTATAGAATTCATGGTTCTTTTGCGCTTAGACCAGATAAAGTATAAGCTCGTTGCGGCATTATAGCAAGCGAAAAGATAATTTGTATTAATTGTAACATCAATTTTATTGTGAAATCATGGCAGTCGGTTTAAGAGGACTTTTCAGACTAAATCTTGGTCTAGCAAAAAGTCTAGTCTCTAAATCGAATTTTATAAATGGTATGTATGTAAGCTCCTTAACCTCAAATTATGTTGAATAAGTTTATGCCGAATAACGTATTAATGAAAGTACATACATATATGATTTTTATAATAATAAAAATGATAGATAATGTATAAATTATATGTAAGGAAAGATCATAATGTATAATGATACAAATAATGTTTCATAATACTTGAACAATTTATGATTACATCAATTAATACATACATTTTTTTTGTAGTTAGCGTACGAACTTTGTATGCAGATCGAGATTTGGGTATACATTCATATGAAAACACAAGATTTGTGTTCCGTAATCAGTTTGTATCAATAGAAGATACCTTTCGTGTTAAAATGAGAGAAATTTGTGACAAAGAAGATGGAGTGATTTTTACGGAAGATCTGAAAGCTATGATACATTTAGCACAATCAAATGAAGAGGACTTGCAATTAGTAACAGAAATGTTAAAGAAATTTATTAATTTTAAGAATAATGTGCAGTTTGGTTCATATGTTTTTGGTCCTGTATTAATGAGAATGTTGTATTATTTAAATGAACCGCAAAAGGCATTAGATATATTTAACAATCCTGAGTTAACAGAAACTTTTATGTATCACTCCGCGATAAGGATACTTTTGTGTTTGTTATATAAGCACCAAATGTACCAAGATGTAAGAGATGTAATAGATACTGTAGAAAAATTTAAAGGCAAAGAATTCACTACAAGCACTATTATTATAGCGTATGCTGGTTGTTTTAAGGAGGTAATAGTTGTTCATGCTACTAATGGATATATATGTTGATTAATATGTTGATTATATTTATAATTGTTTTAATAGAACACTCCTGAAGCAGCAGAGTATGCAATAAGATATTGGAAAGAGCACTGTAAAATTCGAGTACCTACAAGTAGAGCAACTGGAATTGTGGCCTACATAGCAATAAGACATAATTCACCTCAGGAGGCGCTCGAAATGTTATCTGTAGCACAAAGGGATTCTTCTATAGTTATTAGATGTTTAAAAGTCCTGGCATATACAAAGTTAGGAAGATATTTACAAATAATTCCCATATTGAAATATTCAACAGAACAGGATCTATCAGTCCCTCACAAATTTGGTTTTTATGCGGATGTGGTATGTAAAACTATAGTCTCATTTTAGGTCTTGATAAATAACTGGATTTGATATATTTTAGTATTGAATTTGAAAGTTAGCTTATAATAAAGTCCACATAAACCTCATTGTTTTTGGTATAGATATGTGAACTCGAAGAAAAATTAAAAGAGGAGAACGCAAGCGAACGCGACGAAATAATGTATCTTATATCGAAGCTCAGACAGCAACAAAGAATTGAGTCAGAGGTAAGTCAATTTGAGAAGGTATAAAAAATACATAGCTGTATATTTTAATTAATACATAATGATTTTTTTTACAGAAAACTTTAGAAGAACAGTTGTTGCGGCCTTTACAGTTTCGTTCAACCATGAATGAAGATCTGAATGACCGTAGAAATCACATGAATCGTCCAAGAGATGAATTTAAAGTAGGGTTGAAGAATTACCTGTAATGTATTTTTTATTTTTTTTTTAATCTTCCACCTATTAATGACATGTTTCTTAATGTAAACTTGTAAGGAACCTGATGCCTTCCTGTAATCAAGTACAGTTGTATCTTTGTCATTTACACAGTGTACATTAGCATCTTACATATAGTAATTGTAATTATATAATAATAATAGCGAAAAAGATTAAAAAACAAAAACTGCTTACTTTTTTTTTTGAAAGACATTTTTATAGCCTGTACGATATATTCATTTGCATAACACGACTCAAGGATGACAATAATAAAAACGTTCATCGAAGTATTGTTTATGTCGTAGATTGAAAATGAATTCTTCAAGAAGTCATACGTCTTTAGAATGGACAAAGAATCAGAATCGTGAACGAGAGAATTAGCCAGAAAATCTAAAACAGTCAAAATCCTATACGAATCAGAATTGAAACGGCATAATTAGGAATTAAATTGAATTACAGCAACGCGTAGATATTCTTTTCAAACGAACGAGAAAGATTCATAAATAATATATATGAATCCTGTTTGAAAGGTAACATGTCGATGCGACTTTATTCATACACAGTACAAAATTGCAATATGTATATACGTATATATATACATGTATATATTTGTAAGCAAAGAAGTAAATCGGGTGGTTGATGGTACACGATGAGCAAAAGCTGGTGGCGCTAGCGGTGGTAACCTGTACGAAAAGAGGGAAGAAAAAGGAGGGACGACGATGCATAGAGGTAGTTCGTCGTCGTCGTCGTCGTTTGGTTACGGGGGTTTGGGAAGTCGAATGACGTCATGTTGCTAAAGCGACGCGGCAACGCTAAGCGTCTGCGTGGGTCGGCGGGTGTCTGGGCCAGGATCAATAGCGTGCCAGCAACCAGGTAGTAGGTGTGAGTGTATGTGGCTTTCTGAACGGTGGCAGTCCAGGAGACGAACCTTCCGAGGTAGGACACTTCACGAGTCGAGTACAGTTCCAGTGTCGTACCGGAGAGCGCCATGCCAGTATCACTACATCACGGAACCCTCATCGCCTAAGATTATTAGCTTCTCCAGGTAAAGATACATATTATTTTTATTTTTCAATCGTTTCGCTTAGTCTATATGTAATATATTGAGCAACATCCATTTCAAATGCTTTCGAGTAGTTAATGTACGTCAACGGTTGAGCCACCACCCACGTATCAAATCCTCGAAACATTGTATACTGGAAATATGTTCGAAACGAAATTTCTTCTTAGTTACAAGTTAAATATGTGACGGATTAATTGATGAATTCGATGCGATTAGACTAGCGTGAAACATCAAATTTCGAGTAGGTTCTGTCCGGGGGCGAGAGCATAGTCTAGGCTAGAATTGAACGATAATCGATAGGAAAATCGTGGAAATTAGAGTCGGTTCGTGGGACGTATGAAATGATTGATAGAAATCAACAGATCGAACGTTAAAGTAAAAGGGGGATGCGGATAGGAGAGGATAGAATAGCGAAAAGAGATGAAGCTTGGTGGTGGGGATCGTGCGTAACACAGCTATGGATCCCTTGACTTCAACATGAAAGTTGGTTACCTAGTTGTTGCAAACCATCAGTTTTATTTTTCCCACCATAAACTTGCTATCAATTTATTTACCCGATATACCTGTTTATTCGAATCTAACAGACGCTTATCATTGCTATCAAAGAATTATTCCATCGTGTGTTTTGTATTCGGCGCGAAATAATTAAACAAGAGTGTTTTCTAAATTTTCACACCGAACGAAAGAAACAGATGGCTCTTCGTAATATCTTTTTTGTCGCGCCTTTTTGACAGAGGTTCACGGGAAACAATCTGTTTTACCATCGAACTGCATGATCGAACTCTCATCGTACTTTGCTTGATTAAAATTAACGCCAGATGGACGCGTTTACATACGGAAGGGAAAGCAATTACTTAAAAACGCTTTCGTACATCCAGAATTTGTTTGATAAAGAAATTAACCGTTCTCGAGAAACGAGGAAGACAAACACGTTTCTCTCACGTATACATACATATATGTATATGTAAAACGATGTTGACCTAATTCGGACAACTATCCGTTTACAACAATTATTTACTTTTCGCATCCTGCTATCTCTTTTAACATCTCGAGTAATTAAATGGAACACACGATATTGTGCTATTCAATCGAACGTTCTATTTACTTGTTCCCCGACCGACAGGTAACAATAAGTACATGTTGTAGTAAAAATATCAACTGAATATAAAAAATGTATTTATTTACTAGACAGTGAACTTACATTTGTTGCATCAGCTTAGTAAAAATATAACCTAATCTGACCGGAACTTATTAATCATTTCGTTTTGATATCCCCAAGTTAAGTTGACACATTCATAAGTATCTTAATTAGATATATTTTGTTGTTTCGTATTTATAGGGAGGGGAACACTTTAATACAAGCGTTCAAAAGCTTTATCCTCTCTTGGACGCCTCTTGCATCGGTTAATTATCAATCGAGGTAATTGTGTTGGACGAATCGCGGCGTCGATCGATCACTGGTAATCGAACGCGCGTTCTAATTTACACGGAATCGAAGAAATCGAATCCGGCTATCCAATTAGCAATCGTTCGCGCGTTCATTACAAGCGCAATTTTCATTTAACCCTTTGAACGATAAAGAACGATGTTATCGTTTCTCCTTCGATATTATTTTATTCCTCTCTTTTTTCCTTTCTTTGTGAATATTCGAGGTTAATAGTAGCGAATAAAGTAACCGCGTCGCGTGGGTATGAATTTCTTTCCGTGATCTCTACCTGAAAGTGTTTAGTATTGAAATACGTGGAAAATATTCGCGATTTCGATACGTAACATTTTGCCTCAGAAAATAATGAACGAGAAAAGGGAAAAACGGATGAGGCTTCATTTTGTGGTTGGTTATGTTCCGCAGTAGAGTAGGTCAGCGTGTGGTCAGACGATCGGCAAGTAGTACAGGTTCGCGCGTTGTCGGACAACGTCGAGATCCAGGAACATGGAATAAATTACTTGTAAAATGCTTTTTCTTTTCAATCTCGTAATTGTAATTTGTTATTATTATAATAATTCGTTTATTTTTGCATTGCAGGCTGCCGCAATGTGGCCTGGAGTATTGAAGTTATTGGTGTTACTAACAATCTTGCTACATCCATCAAGGTGCGTATAACCTGTACATATTAAACTCTTCTCGTCAATACCTACATAGTTATGCTGGTTTTCTACCGAGAATTAATTTTGAATTTTGAATATTGATAATTCGGAGAGCATCGTATCTGATTACAGATGTGCGCAGCAACCGACGGTGAACTACCGGGAAAAGGAGAAGCAAGTGTTGGACACCATTTTAGGACCAGGACGATACGACGCCCGTATCCGGCCCAGTGGAGAGAATGCAACAGGTGAATATACCAATATTCTTCTTACGTCCATTATTCCTTCCAGCCCTCCTTACCAAATCGACCAATTATTACCAACGCGTCGTAACGAGTCGGGTATAATTACGAACGAGTTTCGAACCTAGCTCGAAATTCGTGAAATCTTTGCGATTTTTTTTTTTTTTTTTTTTTTTTTTTTTTTTTTTTAATTTAAAGAGAATATTTCGCATTCGAATAATATTTAAACTAACACTTGCGTATTGGTCGATCGATTTAGAAAGTTATTTAAAAAAAGACGCGAGTGTTCGGGATACGTTTGTTAAGAAATCTTAACTCGAAACAAGATTATATTTTATTTTGATGTCGAGAATCGGATATGCGTTTCAATTTTCGACCACGAAGAATGATGATCTTCGATCACACCACGAGGCGTTTAAACCGGAATCTAAGGAAGCGCTGTTCAACCCTTTTTCAGATTATGAATCCAATTATTTGAAAATTGATGTAATCCTTGATTAAATTTGAAGAAATTGTAGAAATAAAGCAAAATCATTTTGGTAATCTTAAGTATACAAGAGAAAACAGTATATTTGATATATAAGAAGCCTGGAATACTATATCAATGAAGATAAATTTAGAAATTTGAAGAAGGGTTGAATTATCTCGCGTCGAGGGAACATATGTTGAGAAAGCGAAAGAAGATGGTACATATTCGGTCGATTGGCAAAATGCCGATAAATTTCAGGCATTCGAAGCGGATCCGAGACGAAAATGCGTGCTGATTCAAGACGATTTTTGTCGATACGACTATCTGGCACGCTTTCCTGTCGTCTCGTGACGATAGAATGTTGGCAAAAACAATGAAGAACACTTTTGTTTCGTGAAACGGATGCACAGGTGTTCCCCTGTGTTATTTATCACAGAAATTTTCCGAATATTTTCACCATTGATACTGTGCACGTTGATCGTCTAATCCGGCTATTTCTGTTTCTTCTTCCCGAGAGGAGGATTTCTTAGACTGTTCGAAACTTTCTCGATGCAATTCTTCTACTTTTGCGATATTGCTTCGATTTTTCTTCACCGTCGCCCGATGAAATTTCCGAACAATATTTCAAGAGACGATGACTTGTATCTGGGTCGTTTCAAGTTCTCTTGAAAGCTTGTGTAGACACGACGGAAAGTATCTTTCGAGATTGATCGGAGGAGGAAATTCTTTGCGCGTTAATTGGTCGAGAAATTTTATTCAGTTTTTTCAGAAAACAATTTTCAAATCATTCTCGATAATTTCAAGCTAGTCGAAAGTTAAATATTTCCCTCGCTTTTGTCTTCAACGTTTGGATAATTCGATTCTTTTTAAAGGGATTAACGTGTAAAATTTGCAGCATGAAAATAATTATAAATTTGTTATCTCCGGTTGAAAACTTTCATGATATAAATCTATTTACCTTTCGAAAGAATCTAATTATCCAAACTTTTAAATATTCAAAAGTGACGAGAAAAATAATGAAATTTTACCTATCAAATTTTCGTCCAGCTTCAAATTTCATTTGAATACCATTGAAAATGATTGTACTTGCACCGGTTAACGCGTATTTAGAGTTTGCAGCATGGTACAGCTTCCGCTTGAAAAGGAACAAGAAGAGTGTAGAATAATTGTAAAAATTCGTGTGATTATTGCAAAAAGATTGCAAGTGTATGGTATACGTAAAGCGTTCTGTCGAAGACACAAGGATGCTTGAAAAGGGAATTAAGAGGTAAGAGGGGGATGATGCTACCTTGCTGAGGATATAAAGTAGGATGATGCCAGTT